GCAGCCAGACCAGCAGCTGTTGCTTGCTGATCCTGGGCAGCTGGCCCACGGACCACCTGAGCAGCAGCCAATGCAGCTGGCCCTAGGGACTGGACTGCCTTAGCACCAGTGCAGGGGTGGCTGGAGCAGCTATTTCATGAGGAATCTTAGATTTAGACAGAAGTGTTTATAATGAAACTCATGGACCAGGCCCCAACCTATCGATGACATTTACTAAAAATACCCATGACTAAATCTTAGCCTTTACTATGGTGTTCTGTTCAACATATTGCTTGTATAGTCCTTCATCCTGCCCTGCATTCAGGGTCTGCCAGGTAATGCTCTGTGCTGGTTTGAAGCTTAGGTGCTACCTTTTCAGGACAGGGACTGTCTAAATAGTCAGTTCCAGTGTTGAGCATGCTGATGATATTTAATGAATAGCCAACATGCTTTGCATATTTGAGATGGATCCTGTTAAAACAGAAAACAAAAAGCCCTTTATTGGGAAACCTACTTTTACTGAACAATGTAGAACTGCCACAAAGACTCATACCTTTGCATCCCTTAAATGGACCTGCAGAGATAGTGAATTGTTTTCTAGTGCAAGCTGTTGTCTTTATTATACGTGCTGCCTCCTCTCATCACTTACAAAACACCTCCCTAGCTATCTTGAGACTGGGGTAACACACAACTATAGACATGAGCAACCTTACAGTGGTGTACCTGCCTCAGTACCGCTGTACTAATATACATTCACGAGTGTAGACATCATCTTAATAAAGACATTAGATTATGGCTTATTACAACACTCTATAGTTCACTAACAGGTCTTTTTTTTTTGTTCTACAACTGTAGGGGTGTTAAATGGCCACTTCCCCATGAATGCTCCCTTACAATAGGTATTAACCATCTGCACTAAACAATCTGATCCACTTACTATTTAGTGACAGGCTGAGTAACTTCTCAGACTTCAAGTAGCTCTAAAGCTCCTTCACCAAGAGAAGTTATTCCAGTAAAAGATATTACATAACCCACCCCCTCACTTCATTTTATCTAACACATTCTCCAAAACTTCACTAGGTGTCAGTTTAATACTTCTGTGCTCACTGCTGTGTTGTTTATTAATCCCACAGTACTCGTGGCTAAGTAAGGAGGCAGATGAAATTCAAACCTAAGCAACCAGAAATATTAAGAACTTCTATGATGCTCTAAGCACAGAGCTATCAAGAAAATCGCCAATAATACTGAGTGCCTTGAGTCCACACTGTTGGACAAAAGTATGAGAAGTGTTTGATTTTATTTGCTGATGACTAATTCCCTAAATTCCAAATCTCAGTCTGACATGCAGTGGAATATGGACTATTTCTCATCTAATAAACCATCTTGTTAGTCTTTAAAGTGCTACACAGTCCTGTATTTTATTTCTCTTCAGTTTATGATAACTTTGGTCTCATAAGGTGTATCTACACAGGAAAGTTTTTTCGGAACAATGGCCATTAGTCCACAATAACTATGCGAGCATCTACAGAGCAATTCCATTATTTCGAAATAATTTCAATATAATGGATGGCTTATTCCTACTTCCGTAAAACATATTATATGAACAATAACAGCTATTCCGAAATAGTTATTTCGAAATAAAGTGTATTTAGATGCTCCACTTCTGCTATTTTGAAACAGCCCCTCACCAGGGCCATTCTGTTATTCCTCCTGGGACTCTAAATCGAGATAGCACATCTACATTAGGGAAGCCTGCCTTGGATTAATTTTTGAGGTTTTCCTGCAGTGTAGACATACTATTTCGAAATAAGCTATTTCAGAACAAATATTCCAGAATAGCTTGTTCCGAAATAACTGTGCTGTGTAGACGTAGCCATAATGAACATCAAGAAGACAGAAATGATTTACTAGCCTGCACCTGGAAAGCCTTAAGTAGAGCCTATTATCACAGTGAATGACCAACCTTCCAGGCAATGGACAAGTTCATGTACCTTGGTAGTACAGTCACGTGTGTTGTGTGTGGGGGGGAGGGGGCGTTCTGCGTTTCACCTCCCTGCC